AAAGAGAATGTCACAACATTCACTAACACTTAATTTCTAGTCAATCTCATGAGCAATTGTATGATACTACTAATGATGGGTGAAAATTACAGAATTTACTGAGGGAGGAGCATTTCTGAAACGTTTTTCTTCGGTAGTCGTATTAGGCCTGAGAAGTGTAAGCTCGAGAGCGTAATTGTACAAGAAGAAGCTGCGATGCAGCTCGAAAAAGAACCAAAAGCTATACAAAACAAACTCATTCGGAGAGATACACCAGGTCCGTGATATAAACTTTTGCAGTAAGCTCTCCCTAAAATGCATTCAATCTTCACTACCGAAGGAAAAAAACTAGAACTTTTTGAGATATTAGGTTGGAAACTAAGTTTTGCAACTGGTCTCATAACTTCCCTCTCACTTAACATGGCGCACTCAAATTTTGCCACTGCGTTGGTTATTACGTAAGCTACAAGCGCAGTTGCTGCCCTACCAAATTCTGACGTCGCAGTGAGGGTTACGGTAGGTGCACGGTATGAAGGGGAAAAATTCAAACTTTGACGGATTTGGCTGAAACTTGGCATAGGGATGTTATCCGACATGCTGATCACGAAAACGATAGTGAAATTGCGTGATAAGGGCTTTTCTGTAGGATTACTGTAGGTTTACGATATGGGGTCTCACCCTAAACAAGTAAAAAGGCGTTAATTCAACAAATGAATGTGATATTCGCGTTTGGCAGGTCAAATAACTTTACTATGTAAAGTCTCGGCGGAATTTGAGCTTCGGACTCTTTAGTCGTTGACGGTCGTCCCCAGCAGCTCTTGCGTACATCGACTCGTTCGACTTTATGAGGACGCCAAATCTCGGCATGCCCCTAAATTTTGTTTCTTTCTTAATAGACCAAAGGAGTCAACCTCAAGCAATAATTTGTAGACGAATCCGGATTACTGCGCATGGTCTAGGCTGCCAAAGGCTTCATTTTAGCTTGAAACCCCAAAAAATCGCAAATTTTACTAGTTTTCGAAAAACACCTGAAACTTTTCTATTTCGTGTTCTAAATTTATGCAAGTTGTGCTACCTTGTAGCTCCCACTGGATTCTACATACTGGTAAAGTTTGAGTGTGCCATGTTGAGTGAAAGTGAAGTTATGAAACCAGTTGCAAAACTTGGTTTCCAGCCTAATGAATGCTTTTCAAGTTCTCTAAAGCTTGTAAAAGCTTTAGACATCAGCTGTCGAGGGTCGCTTAACCCTCAAATAAAGAGATCACAGAAAAATAAAGTCAGTAAAGTTAGAAAAACGCATAAAAACCATTGGCAGGATGAAAAGCGCACTGAAAGCATGCGCTGCGTGCGCGGCGCGGAGGTACATATAGCTGGCCAGTCTCCACACTATAAGACATGCGATTTTCAAAGGAACCATGCATCGTACCCGCTCATCTCTGCGCATGCTGAACCTACATGATAGTAGGATCTTTGATGCGAAGCGACTTGCTTTGTGAATTTTGTGAAGAATAGATTCTTGAACAAGTACACACACGCACACACACAGAAACAAACGGGCACGGCCTCAACACGTTATGTCTGTTAAAATGTTGAGCAAGTAATGGACATATTATTGAACATTGTCTGCTAAAATGCTGACAAGAGAATGGTTAGAAGGCCTAGTCAATCCAAACGAGCTGCATATTATCGCATTCGCCTTGACAATGTTCAATAATATGTCCATTACTTGCTCAACAACTATCTTAAAGGAGATGAGTGTTTCAAAAAGAGAATTTATCTGAAACCTCTAAATAAAATTAAAAGAGAGCCCGAGAGTGGAAGTTCACAATGTACGGGTACTCCAGTGAGTAGTGTGTCACAGAATGCTTGACGAATTCGAGATCTAATGCTTCCAGATAGTCCATAAGCAGATAATGAACATTCACAGGGTTTTCTAAAAACGCGCCTACTTTTGATTGTTGACATCTCTCTTGTCATGAATTCTCTCGAGAAGCTCAAAATACTATTTTGTAGGGACCTGAACTCAAAATTACATAGAGCGAATCACCGAACTCCTTTTATTACTGTAGGATTATTAGGAACTTTCAGCTTACAGGGTCATTATGGACAGGGCTCGGCAAGAAGTGGGTTTTTCAACTATTCAAAGTCCCTGTAGACAGAGGTGCTATAGTCGGAGCCGAGTCTCCGTCTACCTTCACTTTGAGCTGGTGTAGGGCGACCACCTCCTCTTTTGGGTTTTGCAATTTTTTTTGCTGGAACTAAGAAAAGGAAATTAAGCAAAACGAACGCAAAAGAAAGTATTGAAAGCATAATTCAATTCTATGTAGTTCACTTTTAGGAGCTCGCCGTCACCTAATGCGAGCTCCTGAAAGCCATCACCGATATGGACGCATTTTTGCCTCAGTACTCTCTACGATTTTGGAAAACAAAGCTTCATGATGACTTCGGATAATATAGAGCTCTTAACAGTCCTCTTTAGGACCAGTGACTGTGACCCAACTGCCCTCTTTAGGCCCACAAGTACGATGAGTACAGCGGCTAAAATATTTGAAATAAACGTTTTAAACAGATAGTGTATTTATGAGTAAAACTCAGCTAGACTTTAGCGAAGGTGGCTTCTAATGCTATATGGTACTTCGAGGCCTGCTAATAATTTTATGCAGCTATCTTGGCGATTTGCTCCAAAGGACCCTCCGACATGCTTGCTTATCTGGCAGGAACACCTTCCAAAACACGGCAAAATATTAGCTTTCAGTTATCGAGGTCTGCATTTTTTTAAGCATACTTGCACTAAGCTCAGGAAAGAGATCACCTTGGCAAATGCATTGCGCACAATGATGGCTTCCTCAACTGCTTCACCTTCAAGTTTGAGCTAAGAGAATGCATTTATTCGAAAATCGCGTTTTCATATGAAGAAATTGAAGCCGTATAAACTTCCCTACAATTTGTTTTCTGCAATTTCGGTAGGATCTTCGGGATTTAGAAGAACTCTGAGTTCCATGTTCTGTCTTCTCTAAACCTGGGCATTCTGATGTAGTATTTCTGTGTGTTATGCCAGACCCAGGTTTATACGGTGGTATTGTGGCTCAGAGACCTCCGAAGGCGACGACTGTGTCGAAACGTAAGGTCAAATAAAGATACCACCGTACAAACCAGGGTCCGGCATACTAACACAAAAAAATAGAAGAACTATCCACAGGTCCATATAAAGCAACCCTTATCAGTCCCTTGACACTTTCTTAAAATATGACATTAACATCAAAAGCGAAGAAAGCGAAAAAAAACTTTCCGAATGACTTGATGGAGTAGCGAGATATGACGCTTCCCTCTCGGATCCCCTCCCCTACCCGCGGGGATGTACGTGCATACGGGCCTAATACGAGCCCCAGGAGTAGCATGCACACCCCACGTTTGAGCCTGTTCACACAAGAGTGTGAATCTAAGTCTGAAGAACCAAGCTAAGAACAAACTAAAATCTTGTGGAAGCTCGCTCATTAGTCAAAGCATGAGTACACTACGAAAGCGCGAGTGAAAAGAAACGACAATCGAGATACATTCTAGGAAACCATAATAAAACTCATCATTCAGGAATTTGCAAATAATGATAATTACTCCATAAATAAGGTCTACAGCCAGACGAAGAGTCCTATCAGGCAAAAGCATGGATCACGATAGTGTAGCTGCGAATAATTCGAATGAATTTAAGGCATTCCAAGTTCGGCTGTTTCTAAATCTTGGCATAGCAAATGATCATGTGTTATACTTTTTCAGCAAGAATGATAAAGACGATAAAGATAAAGAATAAAGAAAAGAAAGATAAAGAAAAGATAAATAAGATAAGATATTGATAAAGAATCAGTACATATGAAAAGAGCGGAGGAACGATCTTGTCAGAACGTGTTCACTGCGGCCCTCAAGCTGTCTTTCGAGGTTGGTAGCAGCTAACGTAGTTCGCGTTGTTACTCTGTCTCGGTCGAATGTCGAGCTGACTCTTTTATGGGCATCCGAGTGAAGGGATTACTTAAACTTCGACTTTACAGGCTCTGACGAAGGCGAAATTGCCGAAAAATTTGCCAATAAAGAATTATTGCAAATCTTGGTCGTTGCTGAAACAGTATTACACATGAATCTAAGGCATTTTCACAGTATTTCTTTAGAATAGTCCTTGGGAGCAATAGCTGTACACCATGACATGCAATCACATCGACAACGTTAGTGTCGTACGTGCTGCTACCACCATGTGACAACATGTCACTGTTTATCAAACCTTTTTGCTTGTTTCGACGAATGTGTGAAAACCGATATAGAGGGTATCCCAAGAGTATGTATACACAGTTTGATTATTATATCTCTTTCCCCAGGAAGTCTTTTACCTACCTTAAGGTACCATTTAGTAGAACTGGCTTCAACTTAGATTTACAGTGTAAAGCGAACTACAGATCGCTCTCCAGTACTGTAGGATTATGGTAGGATTTGGCTTACAGCATCATTGTGGATTAGCGTGCTGCAGAAAAAAGTTTTCAAAAATTCTGAAAAGTGGTGTACCAAGGACTCTACGTAATCTCATTACTCAACTTTCTAGGTGTTTGTAAAGCTTTTAAAGGTGTGACTGCAATTTCAAGGAGCATAGTAAAAACAGCTATGACGGTTTACGGGGCACAATTCAAAAAGGAAACATCGCGGTCAAATGCAAAGTTCATATGTTTAAGCGACTTTGATTGCCTAGTGTAAGAGTTTACAGTTGTTTGGTTTACTTTCTGAAGCAAAAACCCTCAATAATTCAAAACGCCTCTTGAACTACCTACCATAACCCTACAGTATTGAATAAAGAAAGTTGCTTCGTTCCATACTGTAAATCTGATTTGAAGCCGGCTCTACAAAATGGTACCTAAAGGCAGGCAATAGGCTTCTAGGAATAGGAGATATCAATGATCAAACAGTGTATACATATTTTTGGGACACCCTGTATATTAAGGCAAATTGGTGGCATTTTTATTCTCACAGTCAAATGTTCTCTTTAGAGTCCAACCAAATGCCAAGTTGTGTATCCTCGAGAGACGGCAAACAAGGCCGCTGCGGAAGAATTTTGTACCGGAGTTGCACCATATTCGGTATCAAGTAGTCAGTCAGGCTCAGAAACAACTTGTGTCTTTGGTTTGTTCATTCACCTTAGTCACGTCAGCGTGAGAATTTTTACAATTCAGAAAAAGGTTACAACTGCGATGACCACGAAGAAGAACTTTATGATCATTGTTTTGTAGTAGTTGAGAAGAAGGGAGTAGATTTCAATCCTGATGCATGTCCGGAAGGATATTCTCTGCATGTTCTTGAAAGCAAAGACGAGTTTAAATACATTACTAGTATGTTTCTATAATTGAACATAAGATTCAATAATTCTACTTCGATTTTTAGCGTTCTTCGATCGATATAAAAAATTATATGTGGCCAACTCTGGCGACAATGCAGCGTGGTTGCACCCAGAAGTATTGCAAAGAAAGAGAAGAAGAGGTTTGCAGTGCTTCTTAGCTTCTGTTAGATTTTGAAAGCCCGAGCGAGTGTAATTGAGCACGATGCTTGTTTTACCTTATTGTTTACCTGAACAACATGCTAAGCAGGTGCACTTGTCGTTTGACCGCTACCAGGGTTATGCATGTGGCCGAACTAGTGCTCCGTATTGAAAAGTGGGTAGTAGGAGGACGGTGGTCAAGAAGCCAGTTATTGAAATAAGACAACAATACGCCTCAAAAAGATGGGAAACAAAGGCGCTAGATTGATAAATGTCAAACTAGGTTTACTTACTTATTAGGTTGTCCGGAAATTAATGCCCTTTAGAATTTCAACTGTAATAAGTCCTACACTTCTCATTTCTAGATAGGATGCAAAGTACCATCCGATAGAGCAAAGCAAGCTCTACAAGATGGCTGTCTTGCTTTTGCAACAGCTCTTATCCATCTCGAGTTTCGAACCAAAAACTAAAAATACTCAGCAGCCCAAAAAATCGAAAAAAATCGTAACTCCCTTTATAAAAATTCTTACTTGCTCACGTAAACACTATCCATATAAAACATCTATATACGCCTTTGCCGTATTTTTTCCTTCGTTAGAAACCAAGAAAACGGAAATTTTTGTGCATTTGCCAAAGTGATGCTGTGCCGTCCCCACACAGGTAGTTGTATACCACAAGCCTGTAGAAGTACAGACTTAAATTCTCAGCTCTCTACAAGCTTTAGTTCTCGAAAAATACCGAATATAGCTTTTCCTAGTTAGGTGGTCCAAGCTAAAATTCAAATTTCTTGAGAACTAAAGCTTGTAGAGAGCTGAGAATTTACGTTCATACTTCTACAGGCTTGTGGTATACAACTACTTGTGTGGGGACGGCATAGCATCACTTTGGCAAATGCACAAAAATTTCCGTTTTCTTGGTTTCTAACGAAGGAAAAAATACGGCAAAGGCGTATATAGATGTTTTATATGGATAGTGTTTACGTGAGCAAGTAAGAATTTTTGTAGAATTTTTATAAAGGGAGTTATGATTTTTTTCGATTTTTCGGGCTGCTGAGTATTTTTAGTTTTTGGTTCGAAACTCGAGATGGATAAGAGCTGTTGCAAAAGCAAGACAGCCATCTTGTAGAGCTTGCTTTGCTCTATCGGACGGTACTTTGCATCCTATCTAGAAATGAGAAGTGTAGGACTTATTGCAGTTGAAATTCTAAACGGGCATTAATTTCCGGACAACCTAATATTACAACGATTGAATAAGATTGGAAACAACATACCTAATAGCTCCAGTGCCAATATTTCACTCAATCCCAAAAGCCTTTATATCCTATCGTACACCTCTTGAGCTATCAAAAACGCCCCACAATGCAGAATGCGTGTGAATTTCGTAATCAGCACGAATTACACCTATGTGCGCTAAAAACCATTACATGGTACAATTTTTAGTACCTTCTCCCATCTGAAATCTCTATAAGTTGAAAATGATTGACGTAGTGTTGCAAATGAAAGAAGTGACAAAGCTAACTACGCAAGTTTCATGTCATATCGTTTCCAAATAGTGGGATTAAAAGTATTCCAAAACTCCAATCACCTCGTTTTTCAAGCTGAGAGTTTTCGCTTCAAAAGCAAAACAGCTCTAGTTCATTCATCCAATGTGTAATTTGAGAGGTAATGCAAACGGACGACTACCTCGGATAAAAAAATTTCTTTAACAGGGCTCAGCACAAATGGCTTACAAAGCAGGCTAAAAGGCTTTGCGGTGAAAAGCAAAAGAGATATTGTTTTTGCGGAATTTGGAGCTTAGCCCGTAAAAAAGTATATATCAGCTTAGTATGGTCTTTATAAAATAATCCTTTCGTGCAAAGTCGGAGTCTCGGGAGTGGCAGAAAAAATTTACGTAGACCAGATCACGCAAAGCATTGAATTTATCACTGAATCTTATCATTGAATTTTCATGTGATTTAATCGAGTAAAAAACTTCGAAATATGTCAACCTCACGCCCGCCCACTCAAGTTTTTGCACCTTCCCCCTAATAAACAAAACTTCTCTATACAAAAATGTTCCACGCTATTGTCATATGAGTCACATACAGACCCCCAGCTTTCGTCCCCCCCCCCCACAATCACTCCTCCCACACACCCCCTCCCCCCTCTTTCGACCAACCTCCCCATAATTGGAGAGGTCACAAGCGCTCATCACTGCCCTACCGCTCCCATTCTATGCAAAACCAGCAATATTCCTCCCTCCTTGCTAGCGCGGGAATCAAAAAATGTGCTCCGATTAAACTAAAGGTTTGTTTACTGCGAAGAACAAATAGCATGTCATCAAATAGTGTGTGGATGCGCAACAGGGAGTTGAAACTATGTATAAAAATTATGAAAAAGTTTCTTCGACTGAAAGCGTGGCAAACTTTTTTGGAATTAGGCTGCTTTCGAATCAACTGGAGAACGAACTGAGGTGGCCCAGGGCAAAAAGTCCTAAATTTCCTTCCCTTCGCAATATTTTCTCAGACATTTTACGTTAGTCTACATCCGAACCCTACGTTTTTGTTCTGAGTTTTTGAACCTTGCTAAATCCCCTCCTAAGGTTTACGAATGGCGGTAGATGCGCCGGACACAGCACTCCGCAAACTAGGAAAATACGAACATCATTAGCTTTTTATATCCAGTTCACTGCTGTTTTTTTTTGTGGTGTCTTCTTATTATTCTCTCGTCTTGTTATTCATGCTAATTCTTTCATGAGCATATCCTAAGGGATGTCGCAGTTTTGTTGCGAAGACAGCGTAGACTTCGTTTTCGAAAAATTGTCAGAGCCACCTCATGCCAAGCTCTGTTCTTCAGAAACAAAGTCGAGGTCAGACATTACTCTTCGAAAAAGACAGGCTGCCTGAGCTTTGTAGCCTTCTGCCTAACCCATTAACTTACTTCGTAAACTGCTATATTTACTGTAAAACTTGAAGCCTGATTTTGCCACAGTGCCCAATTAGCTACAGTGCCACAGTGCCCAATTTGCTCCCCAGGCCCTCTTTTCTGAAAAAGTTATGGAAAAACATGAACAGAACAGTTTTAAGAAGGAAATGCAGTGATATTATCCGTTAGTCTACGACCGCACATCTCCACAGACTTCTGTCGTTTTTGCCTCATCTAGGCGCAACGTGCCAAGAAACAATCCAAGATGGGTTCACCAACCTCCACCAACGCAATCTCTAACATTTTTCGTACTGAAAATCCTTTTTCGCGCAGTCACCTAGTTTCCGCTAAAGGGCCGGGCATATTTCACCGATTTCAGTCGCGACGCGATTTGGCAATTCGCCAGTAGTCTTCAGATCCAACACTAGCACAAACTGCACATGCATAGTGTGTATAACTTAGTGGTTTGATAAAATGCCCTATCTTCTTACATTTAAAATGTGCTTACAGTGAGTTATGGACAAGCGGAATATTGCCAAATTGCGTCGCGACTGAAATCGGTAAAGTATGCCCCTTAAAGGCAGTGGATTGGCAGAATGAGACCCGTGGCAAAACAAGGTCACAGGGTAGGAGCCCCCATAACCTATGGGCCATAGTTCGTTCATTCTCTGCCACTTCTAACCCCCGAAATTTCAACGCTAAAGCAGCGCTCATCTCCTCTCCTCTCCAATCCCGCCCACCCCATGGACGAGTGACTTCCACGGTCAGAGCGCGCAGCCGCAATGCTATAAGCATGAGGGTCCCGCAACGACTCTGCGTCTTCGCCATGACGGACTTCGCGTTCACTCGTCCGTGGGGTGGGCGGGGTTGGAGAGGAGAGGAGATGAGCGCTGCTTTCGCTTTGAAATCGGGGGTTAAAAGTGACAGAGAAAGATCGAATTTTGGGCCATGGGTTCCACTATGGGGGCTCCTACCCTGTAAGCTTGTTTTGCCACCGGTCTCATTCTGCCGATCCACTGCCTTTAAGGCAGACAATGCAGTTTTCTGACAAACAATCTACGTCGTACATTATGTTCCTGATCAACCGATTTCTGATGTTACTGCTAGGAATGTTGACAAGTATTACTTCGTTTTCCAGTTCAGTTCGTGCTATGCATCGCTATGCCCATGTTTTACTGAAAGTATTGGAGACAAATGGCATATGGCATGGCATACAGAGAGGAACTTGTTGTCACTGTTATTGCTTCGTTCGTGCTTCGTGTTCGCTTGAGATTGCGCAATTTTGTAGCCATCACTGCGAGCATTTGCCAGTTGTCGCGACTCACCTTCTAGTCATACCTTTTTTAAAGCTTTCCTTTCGGTATCACTCAATTCGAATAGTGCCGTCAGACAAATTTATCTGGGTGTTTACAAAGGGAAGCTACCCACTGTGCGGAGTCTGACATGTAAGCTAAATGTACTGCGGCTGCTGATTTAGAATTCTGAAGCACTCATCTATCTCGGACTGTGTCGACGGAACAATGCAGCAGTTATCGATGTACATTAGTGGCAAGAGCGCTAATACCAGTCCTCAATCTTTCCACGTAACAAATCGCGAAATGGAGCGAGTTGCTGATCCATCGCAAGTCCTCTGGTTTAAAAAGAGTAACTACCCGATCAATTACATATGTTACAATTCAAGCATTCCCTTATGAGGGACAATATGCACGCTTTGCTCAAGCCAAAGGTTACCATGGTGGCATCATATTCATCCAGCATCTATGGCACGGCTTGTAAAGCGGCACTGTTTTGAACATGGGTGTATAATAACTTCAATAGACTCGGCAATTGAAATCAGGTTCAAAACTCATGCTTCGCAACTGCTGTACAAAGTGTTGTGTGTTGGACAAATGCGCAATTACCGTGGCTGAAAGCTGGCTTACAATCTTGTTCGGAAACCAAGATATTTGATTAGTGGATGCACTTACGCAGCTTATTATCGGACGAATTTTATATGAGTGTAGTGACATAGACTGTATTTCATTTGCTGGTATTTGTGTTTCTTTATTCAGATGATAGCAAACAAAACAGATTTAAGTGGTAGGGAATAAACGATTGCT